CTGGGCCAAAGTTCTGAGGACTTTACTTTATATAGTCCTTGACCAGCGTTATTATATTAGGTGCTGTATCCTCATCTTACAGATGAGGAAACTAGGCTTGGAATGGCTCGGTAACTTGCCCAAGGTTACACTTAACTAGGAAGTAGTGAGTGCTAACATTGCAATGTTGTCATTTCTTTTTTTTTAAATCCTTACCGAGGAGTGAGGATATTTTTTCCATTGATTTTTAGAGAGAGTGGAGGGGCAGGGAGAGAGAAATACCAATGTGAAAGAGACACTTGATTGGTTGCCTCCCACACGTGCCCCGATCTGCAACCCAGGTATGTGCCCCCGGTCACACCAGGAACCAAGCCCCAGACCCTCCGGTGTGCAGGCTGACGCTCCAAGCACTGAGCCATGCCGGCAAGCGCTGAATGTTGTCATTCTTGCCTTCACTTTTCGTCACTGCACTGTATAAATAAAATGTTGTAGAAATTCAGAACTTTGAATAATTATAAGATACAAGATGGTGGGACTTCTGCATGTGGGGAGGGGGGGAAGAGAGAGGTGCTTGGGAGAGGGGGTAAGTGGTATATTTACAAGCATTGAACATACCATTTACATAAGGTATAAAATGTTATCATCTAGTGGAGTGTTTTAAATTAAACAAGAGGCTTTTGTAGCATAGTAGGTATGAACACAACCTTGGGAATCAGGCCTTAGTTCAAATCCTGACTATGCCATTGACTACATTCAATGTGAGATCTTTGGCAAATCAGTCACTATTTCTTCTGAACCTCATAGTTAAGTGGCCTAGCACAGTGATGGTGAACCTTTTGAGCTCGGCGTGTCAGCATTTTGAAAAACCCTAACTTAACTCTGGTGCCATGTCACATATAGAAATTTTTTGATATTTGCAACCATAGTAAAACAAAGATTTATATTTTTGATATTTATTTTATATATTTAAATGCCATTTAACAAAGAAAAATCAACCAAAAAAATGAGTTTGCGTGTCACCTCTGACACGCGTGTCATAGGTTCCCCTTCACTGGCCTAGCACATTTTAAGCACAGAATCGTGGCTTTGTTATAATGAATTTTGTTATTTATTATAGTTACCTATATTAATAGATTCACTCAATTCTAGAATAAATCGATTTATTCTAGAAATTTTTTGTTTAGATCTGTTCTGTGCTGGTTGCTTTCATTAACTCACCTTTTCCCAGGATGACCGTAAGGACTTCCTGGTGGAGGTGGGTAAACATATGGCCATGGCTGCTTTCTTGGCTCAGGCACTTGTCAGGGATTATACCAGGGGTCCTCAAACTTTTTAAACAGGGAGCCAGTTCACTGTCGCTCAGACCGTTGGAGGGCCGGACTATAGTTTAAAAAAAAACTATGAACAAATTCCTATGCACACTGCACATATCTTATTTTGAAGTAAAAAAACAAAACGGGAACAAATACAATATTTGTATTTGCATGTGGCCTGCGGGCCGTAGTTTGAGGACCCCTGGATTATACTGTCTAGAAGAGTATGTTTCTATTCATTTTACTCATTTAATTAAACAGCCAAGGGCAGACTCAGAAAGAAAGACTTAAGTAAGTTTTTTGTTTCTTTGTCCTGTCCCCCCTCCCCGCCCACTTCCAGAATTCTTAGCAGCCTGAGTCTTAGGAAACTGATGGTGGGACACAATCACGTGCAGACCCTCCCAGTGCTCGTGGAGCACATCCCTCTGGAGGTGTTGGACATCCAGCATAACCTGCTCACCAGGCTGCCGGACACCCTCTTCTCCAAGGCCTTAAAGTAAGCACTGCACTGCTTGTCATTGGGGTGACCTTTGGAACTAGATTTATAGTTTACCTCATAGTCCAGCGATGGGTGGAGTCATTTGTACTTTCTATGAAATAAAATATGACACTGTTTTTATGAGGTGGTAATCTTCGACTCTAGAGTTGAAATAACCATCAGATACGTAAGAAGTTTTGGTGTTGTAAACAGTTTCAAACAGGTGGGGAAGGTTCAGGCTTTCATCTCAGAAAACAAATACAATTATGACCTTTAAAGAGAAATTGCAGTGCTCTCATGCCTCTTTCTTGGCAATTTTTAGCTTTTTCATTAGGAAAAAAGGACATACCATTAAAGTTAATTTTGCTTCTAGCTTTACAAAGCTATCATTGAGTTTTATTCTTTATTTGCATCACTCTTTTACTACCTACTTTGAAAACTGTGCATTTAACGGTAACACTGTTTCAGAAGGTGTTACTTGCTTTCTCATTGTAAATTAGCAATAAATAATGTTTTTTTACTTTAACATCCATAATCAGGTATATCTAATGTGTATGTCACCCACCATTCAATGAAGATTCGTTTTTAATTATAGCCCTCTGCAATATGGAGAAGACAATATTATCTTCAGTTTAGAAATGGAGAAAATAGAGATAAGCACTAGTAATTTAACATAGGCTATAGCAGTGATTTTCAACTGGTGTGCTGCAAGAATTTTTAAAACATGTGATACCTGACTATTTAGTCAGGGGCACTGATCTCTTTTCTCTTAGATTGTCACATAAAATAATGACAACAGCCAACACAAGCCCTCTGATGTGAGTGAATCAAAATTATACCTTTTTTTTGTCAGATCAGCAAGAAATATAATAACTTTTTTGGTGTGCACAGAATTTCAGTAGTTTATATGTGCCATGAGATGCAAAGGTTGAAAATTGCCAGCTACAGGAAACATACAAAAAGCATTTAGCCTACAATCGTCTGGCTTGTTCTTTGTGTGGCAGCTTATACATCTCAATACACTTGGTTGGACTTTCCAAAAAATAAAATCTTTGGAAATTCTAAAACATGTTTGTATATAAAAAGAAAAAAACAGTGTTTGTATATATAATACATATTGTAAGTATAATTGGTATTGCCCTTTCTGGAGCTCAGTTTGGCAATATATATGAAAAATTTTAAAGATATATCTATCTTTTGACCCCAACCAATTTTGCTTCTGGGAATGTAGTATAAATAAATAATTGGATAAGGATACAAAGGTGCTCAATATAATGTCTGTAATAGCAAACAGTTGGAAACAGCGCTGTGCCCATTATTAGGGGATTACAAGGGGCTTGGCTAAATAAATATGATGACGTTGAAATCTGACAAAAAATTTTTCTGAAGGGTGTCTTCACAGTTTGGATATTTGTGAACATGATACTCAACAGCACTCTTTCGGGGGGACATAAAGACAGTAAAAAATGAAGCTAAGGTAGACTTCAGGCCACTACAGAAGCCCGGGACTACTACCAAGCCTGAATGATTTCCTGTCTGTTTGGCTTGCATGAGTTGAGTAAAAGGAACTTTGGTTGTTAGAATCAATTAGAGAAAACTACCTGGAGGAAGTTTCATTTGTCGTGAGTTTTGGAGCATGTAATGGCAGTGTTCCCTACTGAGATGGCATGATGTTTTCTACCTAAGGCAATAAATAACCGTGCAGGAAATGATGTGTGTGTGCTCTGTCAGCCTCAGGTACTTGAATGCATCTGCAAATAGTCTGGAGTCCTTGCCATCTGCTTCTGCAGGGGAGGAGAGCCTGAGTGCCCTGCAGCTGCTCTATCTGACCAACAACCTCCTGACAGATCAGTGTGTGCCTGTCCTGGTCGGGCACCCACACCTGCGAATCTTGCATCTTGCAAACAACCAGCTACAAACTTTTCCCGCAAGGTAAACAAATGCACACTTTGGTCATTTCAGACAAATAACATGCATTCTGCATTTGTTAGACCACATTGCTGCTATCTCACTAGGTACTCTTGCTTTATGTGGAGTGACTTACGATTCCACTAGTTGAATGGGAAAGTGTTTGTACCTAGTTGTTACGTATCAATAACCAGAGAAGTTGTGGTTAAAATGTGTTTAATTCTTAGTTGTAGTTAGCTGATAATGAATGGTCTGAGAATTTTCAGCCTAGAAAAGTACAGGCTTATGAAATAAATTAAAGAAATTCCGGAGACAATTGGTTTTTTTTTTTTTCATTCAGCACTGCTTCATAAAAGTACTGTTGAGTCCATTAATTTATTCATTATATACAGTGGATCCTTGAACAGGCTGGGTGCTAGGGGGAGCCAACCCCCATACAATCGATAATCCACATGTAACTTTTCACTCTACAGTTGGCCCTTTGCATATGTGGATTCAACTAACTGTGAATGCAAAACAATATGTTTGATCTGCAGCTGGGAGACCGTGGTTGGGAATGTGAAAATGCTGTATCCCATCCACAGTTGGTTGAATCCGTGGGTGGAAACCTGTGGGCATGAAGGGCCAACTGTATTTATTGAAAAAAATCAGTGTATAAGTGGACGAGCACCGTTCAAGCCCATTTTGTTCAGTCAGCTGTCTATATTGAATGCCTACTGTATGCTGTGTAAGCACTGGGGAAGCAGTGCCGATTAAGTTACAGCCTCTGTCCTCAAGTTACTTACAGTCAAATTGGGGGAATAGATAAGTATATAGGCAATTGCAATGCAGCATAATAAATGCAGCATGTTAAAGGTATATGTAGGTAGCTCATTGCACTGCACAGAGCCTGGGGGTGTTGGCCTTCCAGGAGGAAGAGATGAATAATAGCTAGGCTTCACCTATACGAAGACATAAGCGAGACATTTAATGTGGTCAAAGTTTTAAACAGTGTCAGTAGAAAAATAAATATCTTCCAAAGTACATTTGATAAAATATAATACCTGAAAAGTACATCTATACCATGAAGGTAATATTAAAACTCATGTTTTGAAAGAAACAATAGGGAAATGATGTTTGGTATTATTTGAATGAAAACAATAAAACTATGTATTTTGACTCTAATTTTATTTTATAAATGTTGTTAGAAATGTAATAAACTCAGAAAAACTGATAGGGATTATAATTTTTTTAAATATTTATGAAAGAAGATATTTAGAGCTCATAAAAGACAAGCAGGATAAACATGATTGCTTCCTAAAAGAATTTAAACAATGGCTTTTAGTCCTGGCCGGTTTGGCTCAGTGGATAGAGTGTCAGCTTGTGGACTGAAGGGTCCTGGGTTCAATTCCAGTCAAGGTCACATGCCCGGGTTGTGGGTTCAGTCCTCAGTGGGGAGCGTGCAGGAGGCAGCCAATCAGTGATTCTCTCTCATCATTGATATTTCTCTCTCTTTCTCCCTCTCCCTTCCGCTCTGAAATCAATACAGATATATTTAAACGGTGGCTTTTAAAGTGAATGCAGAATCTTAATTTCAGAATTTGATCCCTTGAAATCTGATGAGATTAATTCAGTTGGCCCCACACATAGTCATGTAAAGTGGAAATGACAGACCACTGACAAGTTATATTAGTTTTTGAAGCTGTTGGGAGATACCAGATGAATACTCTGAAACTCATGAATTCCATCTAATTTGGTGACACTCATATTGTGGGAGGGGTCAAAAGCAGGCTAATATTAAATGTAAAACATTAAAAATATGAAAATAAGAAGTTAGAAGTAAAGACAAGAACAGCAACAGATCATATAAAATTAGAGTACTCTGGTACAGATAGTAAAACTAAATGGAATTTAGGAGCAGTACATTAAAGAACATGTATGTTCTATATGAATAATAAATCCACTGTCAGGTCATCTCTTAAACAATGTTATAATTGCACAGGCATAATCCAAATTTTCTGTTTCTTTTGCACTATTTTCAAAGTCTGGCACAGCTCTGGGCTCCGTAAGAGACTGATTGAGAGAGGGGCGCTCACTGTGTTTCTGTCTACAAGTCAGAAAGTAGTCGTAGATCCAAGCAGGGAGTAGTGTGAGAGAATAGCATGAGATTTGGACATGGAACACTTTTAAAACATATTAAGTAAAGTAAAAGAAAACCAAAAAAACCCCAGCAAGTTATAAAATATAACATAGCATTGTTTTTTAATTTAAAATATAGTTTCATGCATGACAAAGGACAAGAATACCCTCCACCAAAATGTCATCAGAATTCTCTGGTAGTATGATTTTTTTTCCCACCTCTGTTTTCCTTGTCCCTTTTTCCAATTTTTTTCAGTGAATATAGATTACTATTGTAATTAAAAAGCAGTTTTAATTTACTGAGCTTAATTATTAAAAGTATTTCTGGCTTTCCTAGCAATAGAAATTATGGTATGTTATATTAGAGCAACTTGTAATAATCTAGATAAAGGTGTTAGGCCATCTTAAGATATTTTGCTTATTGTGGAGAAAGCTTTGCTCAATCCAGTGGAACAGTGAATCGCATTGCATTAACATTCTTAGCATAGCACTGTATGTGTAATAACCACTCAAAACAATGTTTAGTGAAGATGGATTGTGTTATGTATAGGTAACGGTAGATATTTAAAATTGAAAAGACTCTTAGTGATGATTTAGTACAGCTTCTTTTTTAGCTGAGGATATTGATATAAACTGACATTAACTTATGCAGTATTCTGCAACTAGTTAGTGGCGAAGCAACTAATCTACCAACCCTAGGCCGATGCTGATTCAGCCTCTCCCTGTAAGTCACATAATAGGAAGCCGTTCATGCCACAAGATCCAACAGCTGTCAGAGAAGCCAGGGACGCTTCAGCCCCTTCAAACACACTGAGAGGCAGACCAGACTGAAGTGTAGCAGGCGCAGTTACCTTGGGGAGCCCTTCCCTTCCTGGTGTCTCTGATCATTTCATATGGCCAGGCATCGGGCAGTGGGCCAGTCGCCTCTGTGCTTCGGCTACTCTAACACTTGCTTGGCAGCTCCTTTTGGGTGCAGTGTGGTATTTTGGTATTTCTTTTTCAGCAAACTAAATAAATTGGAACAATTGGAGGAACTGAACCTAAGTGGCAACAAGCTTAAAACCATTCCCACGACCATAGCGAACTGCAAAAGGCTGCACACCCTTGTCGCACACTCCAACAACATCAGCATTTTCCCAGAAATACTGCAGTTGCCTCAGATCCAGGTACTGTCATGTGCTGGAATGCTGTCCCTCGGGGGGAAGTGGCAGGAGAGTGAATGAGGTTGACCTCGTAAGGAAGAAGGACGTGGCAATTAGGGATCACAGTGTATTCAGTGGGTTCTTGGGAAGAAATTAAGTTCCCTTGGAGGATATAATAGTAGACTGACTGTTAGAGAGTTAAGAATTAACTACCTGTGATGTATTTTCTTTTGATTTTTTCCACTTCTCAGTTTGTAGACCTAAGTTGCAATGACTTGACAGAAATCCTGATCCCAGAGGCCTTGCCTGCTACCTTACAGGACCTTGACCTGACTGGAAATACAAACCTGGTTCTGGAACATAAGACGCTAGACACATTTAGGTAAGAAAACTTGTGAAAACGAACCCCCATGTGCTCTTAGTCTCACCAGCCATGTGGGGGCTTCTCAAGGTCTTGATTATTTGAAGGAGTAGAATGGATGAAGCATAAAACCCCTTGGGCCCGAACTTTGATTCAGTTATGGGTGGATGTTCTGTCCATCCACATAAATGTTCTCACCCATTTATATTAGGACTTGGCATCCAGGCTCAGCCACATACTGACTATCTTTTCATGGCAGGCATAGATGGTTTAGGTGGCACAGATCACATTACATCACAACATGTAAGAGACAGTGCAAGCTCATTCATTGTACCAAGAGTTAATTGTATTAAAATACTTAAAATAAGTAGACAGTTGGCTGAAATGTTTAAGTCTTTTTTGTGCCTAGTTTTCATAGAGACAGCATCAATTGTAACAATATTTGGCCCCTATTTCTTCCTCCTACTTTTTCCTTTCTCCACCTTGGCCAGTGGGTCAGCATACTACTTTTAGTCTCTCTGGAGATGAATCTTAGTCTGTCAACAGACTATTTTATAAAAATAACATATTATTGTTAGGATAGTTTTTGTAAAATACAGAAGCATTTACGGTTTAATCTTTCCTTCCTCCACTTCCCACAGCCATATCACAACCCTGAAAATTGATCAGAAACCTTTGCCAACCACGGATCCTACAGTTACATCAACTTTCTGGAGCCATGGACTGGCTGAGATGGCAGGGCAGAGGAACAAGTGAGTATCTTGGCCATGGAGACTGACAAAGAAGAAAGGTAGCCGCTGACATCTGGGAACTGATCTGATGGTAAATGCCAGGCCATATTCTCTTGTTGGGTGTAAACAAATCACAGAATGTCAACATCAGATAAGATCCCTTTGCACAAAAACAAGACGAATGTGCAGGCCCCAAAATACCAAATTCTCTCATCCCTACCATAAAATGGGCGACTACTATTTTCTGTACCAATTACAGCTTTATCCTTATGCTAATCTTTTCCTATAGATAAGATTGATGGAGATACCCAACCATAGAATGGCCCCGCTTTCTGGCAGCCCCCAATCTAGTATGATGACCCCTTCATTAGACCTTCTCCAAAGTGACCCAGTCAAAGCCCAAATCCTATGCTAGGTCTTACCTACACTCCCCAGAGTTCCATGATGTGCATTCTGCCTTGCTCGGTGCATAATACACTCAACTCATTCAACCACAGGTGTGCTCCTGGGGGCCTCTGGCTGAAGGGCGTTAACAATAGTAGTCTTTGATAACTACTAAGAGAAAACATTTCATCTGTCCAGCTTTGGCAGCATTGCAAAGTTAAAATATGTACAGCTTCTGAATGTGGCTGAATTCCCCTGTTACGTCAGCAACTCTTTCAAATGCTACCTAATAATGAACACTTTTCATTTGTAGGTTAGGATTTACTCCTGTTCTTCTCCACCCTCAGTTAACACTTAGTTTTTTAAAGAAGGCTCCTCAGAGAATAATCCTTTTACCAATAACTTTCTTTGATGTTTGTCTTTCTTGTCTTTCTGTGATAGGCTGTGTGTATCTTCGCTAGCTGTGGATACCTTTGCGGAGGGCGTGGGAGCGGTATACGGCATGTTTGATGGGGACCGGAATGAGGAGCTTCCCCGCCTCCTGCAGTGCACGATGGCGGACGTGCTTCTGGAGGAGGTCCAGCAGTCATCCAGTGACACCGTTTCCATGGCTCACACCTTCTTGGTATCTCACAGGTAAGCAGGTGGGTTGAATAATCCCTAACTCAGTTCCACTTTTGGAAAATCTAAGCCAGAAGGTCAGAGTCTAAATTACAGGCACAGGATCAAGATGAGATCTTGCTCCTTCTGCCCTAGCCGTTCTCTCTATATCAGCGTGGAATGTGGGGGATTTTGGTGCTTTAAAGAGCCTGTGGAACCATCTGTGTTTTCTCTGTTGAACCCAAGATCTGGAAAGATCTGGAAAGCCCAGAACTGATGTGGGAAAGGTTGTGTGTGTATGCATTTGGGGGAAGGAGCATAGTAAGCTTTCATAAGATTCTCCAAAGAGTCAATGACCTACAGAACGTTAAGCACTGATCAGTTCATGTTTTTAGAATACTTACTGGGATTTACCAACTAATCTTCTAAGCCACTTAATGGTAAAAACCCTATATAGCTAAACTATTGAAAATCTCTTAGTAGCTAATGGAGCATTTTACCCATCAGGTGGGCCGCAAAAAGGATACTGACAACTGAGAGGTTGTTATCTTGTACTAGAGGCCCGATGCACAAAATTCGTGCACGGGGGTGGGGGGATTACCTCAGCTGGGCCTGTGCCCTCTCACAACCCGGGACACTTCGCTCCTAACTGCCCACCTGCTCACTCCTAACTGTCCGCCTGCTCCCTCCTTACCTCTTGGCTTGCCGCTCCTTACTGCTTGGCTCGCCGCTCCTTAGTGCTGCCACAGAGGCAGGAGAGGCTCCCACCACTGCCGCTGTGCTCGCCAGCCGTGAGCTCAGCTTCTGGCTGAGCAGCACTCCCACTGTGGGAGTGCACTGACCACCAAGGTGTAGCTCCTGGGTTAAGCATCTGCCTCCTGGTGGTCAGTGCACATCATAGCTACAGGTCGTTCTGGTCATTTTGCCATAACGGTTGCTGGGCTTTTATATATATAGATATAGAGATAATCAGTGTTGAAATGGAGCAGCCTGGAGTCCAAGCTAGTTTTCTCTCTCATTATAATACAAAGCAAATAGGCTGGGAAAGGAGTTTAACTTGACAAAATAAAGGGTTTGGGAGAGAGAACTCTGCTTATGAAGTACCTCCTGAGAGCAGGGTACTGTACCAAGCATTTCTCATATCATATCTTTAATTTTCAAAACAAGCCAAAGAAGTGGGTATTTTATTAAAAAATTTCTCAGAGAAATAACTTGCTGAGGATCTATAGCCAGTAAATGAAAAAGCCAAATTTAGAACCAGGTCTTTTTTATAGCACCTGCTCTATGCTTAGCATTGTGTACCACATACTGGGGGGTGGATGCCATGTGCATGGGAGAAATACAGGGGAAATTATGATCCTTCCTTCAAGGAACTTAAAACCTAAATGTGTGGTTCTCAATGTGTTGTTCCAGGACAACAGCCTCGGGAGCTTCAACATCACTGGAAACTTGTTAGAAATGCAAACTGTTGGGCTGCCCCTTATCTACTGAATCAGACATTCTGGGGGTGGGCCCTGTAATCTGTGTTTTTACAAACCCTCTAAGTGATTTTGATGCTCTAAAGTTGAAACCACTGAGTTACGCCATTGTGGTCAATGATTAGACACAAGTAGAAGGAGCAGAGAACAATCACCTTACTCTCTCCTTTGAGCTCACTGTTGTGTAAAATTCCTTTTCTCAGTGAGTTAAGAGTGGAAGGCAGAACTCTGCTCACCATCATCACCTCCTAGTATAGCCGGGGACTGCCTTCATGTGGATGAGGGTGGGGCTGGTCCAGTCACCTGGCAGGAAAACAAGGAAATGGTGGCCATGAAGGACTGCCATTTTCTTCTTACTCTAGCTTACTCAGGTCTTCATTTTCTTTCTAAACAGGAAATTAGGGATGGCTGGTCAGAAGCTGGGCTCCTCTGCTCTTCTTTGTTACATCCGCCCTGACACTGCCGATTCAACAAGTAGTTTTAGCTTGACGGTGGCCAACGTGGGCACGTGCCAAGCAGTCCTGTGTCGAGGTGGGAAACCAGTGCCCCTCTCTAAAGTCTTCAGCCTGGAACAGGATGCGGACGAGGCCCAAAGAGTGAAAGACCAAAAAGCCATCATAACAGAGGTGAGTCTCGCTCTCCATCAGTCACCTCTACTCCCCAAATCCAGTGAATGCTGTTTGCATAATGGCAGTGGAGGCCCACTTTCCTTCTATCAAGCCTTGTAAACTGTATCCAACTCAGATAATAGAACTAGAAGAAAAGCTAATGAGCAGCTAATGACTAGCAAAAAGAAAAGTCAAATTAATTAGAAGGAAAAATCTGAATTTGATGCTTTAGATCAGTGATTTTCAATCTTTTTCATCTCATGGCATACATAAACTGATTACTAAAATTCTGCAGCACACCAAAAAGTTTTCTTTTTGCTGATCTGACAAAGAAAGGTATAATTTTGATTCATTCACACCAGACACCTATTGTTGTGTTGTCATTTTTTAATTTGACAATCTAAGGAAAAAGAGGTCAGTGCCCCTGACTAAATAGGAAAGCATTGCATGATTTAAAAATTGTGTCAGCACACCTGTTGAAAATCACTGCTGTAGATGTATAGCTAGCATGTAAAATGAAGGTAAATGTTCCCTTTGGTTAATTTCCAAACAGAAGAGAAACACTCCTATAGTTTGACATCCTAGTCTGAAATGCAAAGTTTCAAAATATTTTTTTCTGTTCATAATACAATTGTATTTGGCTTATATGCTTTGGTTATATTTTCTTTTTTAAATAATGAAGCATCAGTATCTCCACAATTTTGCAGTTTTTCTTCTGTTTTAGAAGTTAGCATAACATTTTTGCTTTCAAAGAGACCTTAGCAGTTCATGTGAGCATTGTTTACTGCAAAGCAGAATTCTGTTCAGATCTTTTGCCCATTTTTAATTGAATTGTTTGTTTCTTTATGGCTGAACTTTAAGAACTCTGTGTGAATTTTGGATACAAGTCCTTATCAGATGTGTGTTTTGCAAATACTTTCTCCCAATCTGTGGCTTGTCTTCTCATTCTTTTAATCAGTGTCTTTTGCAGAGAAGTTTTTAATTTTAATGAAGTCCCACTTATTTTTCTTTCATGGTTCATGTTTTGGTGTTGTATCTAAAATCTCATTGCCAAACCCAAGGTCACCTAGATTTCTTTCTGTCTTATCTTTTGGAAGTTTTGGAAGTTCAGTAAGTCTGATCAGTTTTGAATTAATTTTTGGAAAGGTGTAAGCTCCATGTCTAGGTTATTTTTCTTTCTTTTTTGCATGTGAATGTCCAGTTGTTCCAGCAGCATTGGTTGAATAGACTGCCCTTTCTCCATGGAGTTGCCTTTGCTCCTTTGTCAAAGATCAGTGGGCTGTATGTGTGGGTCCATTTCTGGGCTGTCTGTTCTGTCAGAATTCTGTCAGGACTATCCATGTTAGATTTTATCCAAGGAAGCACAAAACCAAAAAAAGTATATCACAGTGTGGTTGATACCATGAAGATTCTGGAACTCTGAGGCATTATAGCCTTAGGAAGGTCTTTTAGTCAAAACAAAAATGAAAGATAAAAGAATGTTTTGTTTGATTCGTCTATTCTTACAGAATTTAGTAATGTTGTTTCGATTTTTGGGGTGAAGGGGTGCTAGACAAGTAGGAAATATTTTTATAAACGTTATTTTAACCACAGATATTTATTGTTTGCTTATTTGCTAAGCACTGTGCTTTCATTATTTTGTTTAATCTTCATAATAACACCCATGAAAGAATGGCTTTTATTTCCATTTTACAGTTGAGGAAAATAAAATTTAGTGTTTGTGATAAGTTCTGGTAAATAGAGAGCCAGGATTTTCACCCAGATAATGACTGCAACTATGAAGTAAATATATTGATGGCTTTAGAGGTTTTGCTTGGTTTTATCTTGAAAAGAAATAAGTATCAAGTATCTGGCAGATGAACATTCCCATCTGTAACTAAGGTTTTTCCTTTTCCTTTAAGTTTGGAATTATACCAGTTGTGACTTGATCTGTTATTCATTTTTGGTTAAAATCCTTACAGAGTAGGTAAATTTACTACAGATTTCAGACTTTCCTTTTCTAGGCTAAATAATTTTGGAGATTACTTAATGCTTTAGCCACAAAGATTGCCTTAGTCATTTAATATCTTCCTGAATCTTTTCATTCCTAACTGTGCCTTTGAATGAGAAATCATTTTTAGTGACCCATCTGCGTTCTGGCCTCTGTGAGAATACTAGTGATGGAGAATTAATGATAGCTCTGATCCTTGTTTTTCTTTTTTTTTTTTTTTTAAATATATTTTATTGATTTTTTACAGAGAGGAAGGGAGAGGGATAGAGAGTTAGAAACATCGATGAGAGAGAAACATCGATCAGCTGCCTCTTGCACAACCCCTCCTGGGGTTGTGCCCGCAACCAAGGTACATGCCCTTGACTGGAATCGAACCCGGGACCTTTCAGTCCGCAGGCCAACGCTCTATCCACTGAGCCAAACCGGTTAGGGCTGATCCTTGTTTTTCTAACAGGTGTCTTTCTATTTAAGGACATGCTGAGGCCTTTACTTCATGTTAAAGCAAATACCTTTTGAGATTGAGGTGCCTTTTAGCCACTTCATTTTAATTGGTTTTATCTTTAGTCCTCTGAACTATTCAGTATAACCATCTGATATTTTGTTCTTTTAGAATTTTATACATTTATTTTTGTAAGGCCATTTAAAATTACACAGATCTTAGGAAAAACCATAATAGATATCAGTTCTGTGTTTGTTTGTTTGTTTTTTGTAGAGCCCTAAGCATTGTGAGATAGAAAGATATGAATTGTATGTCATTGCTTCTTGTTTTTCAAAATTTGCATTCTGCTGCCTCTAGGATAACAAAGTGAATGGGGTAACCTGCTGCACCCGGATGCTGGGCTGTACATACCTCTACCCTTGGATCCTCCCCAAGCCCTACATCTCTTCCACTACACTTACCATTCAGGATGAGTTGCTGATTCTGGGAAACAAAGCATTGTGGGAACACTTGTCATATACAGAAGCTGTCAGTGCAGTGCGTCACGTACAAGACCCATTAGCAGCTGCCAAGAAGCTGTGCACATTAGCCCAGAGCTACGGTTGTCAGGACAATGTGGGGGCAATAGTGGTTTATTTGAACATTGGGGAGGAAGGCTGCACTTGTGAGATGAATGGGCTCAGCCTCCCAGGTCCTGTGGGATTTGCTCCGACCACCACCATCAAGGACCCTCTCAAGCCAACCACTCCTTCCTCCAGCAGTGGGATCGCCTCTGAGTTTAGCAGTGAGATGTCCACGTCAGAGGTGAGCAGTGAGGTGGGATCCACTGCTTCTGATGAACATAACACTGCTGGCCTGGATGCCAGCTTGCTCCCACGGCCAGAGAGGCGCTGCAGCCTCCATCCCACCCCCACCTCTGTGGTGTTTCAGCGCCAGCCTTCGTGTGCGACTTTCTCGAGTAACCAGTCTGACAATGGCCTGGACAGTGACGACGACCAGCCCGTTGAAGGGGTCATAACCAATGGCAGCAAAGTAGAAGTGGAAGTGGATATCCACTGCTGTCGGGGGAGGGAGAACTCGCCCACGCTCCCAAAGAATTCTCCCGCCCCACGTCCTGAGGAGCATGGGAGAGGATTGTTTTTTGGGATCCGAAGACAGAACAGTGTGAACAGTGGCATACTTCTGCCAATGAGCAAGGACAAGATGGAGCTACAGAAGTCTCCCTCCACCTCCTGTCTCTATGGGAAGAAACTCTCCAATGGCTCGATTGTACCCCTGGAAGACAGCCTGAACCTCATTGAAGTGGCCACAGAAGCACCCAAGAAGAAAACGGGCTATTTTGCTGCCCCCACTCAGCTGGAGCCAGAGGATCAGTTTGTTGTACCTCGTGACCTGGAAGAAGAAGTGAAGGAGCAAATGAAGCAACACCAGGAAAGCAGGCCCGAGCCTGAGCTGATTGAAGAGGATCGGACCGAGCTCCCTGAGGAGTTTGACACAGCACTGTAATCCTCCCCAGCAGCTGTGTTAGGGAAGGCTGTGTTGGGTCGGGGTGGGGGGCCCTTCCAGAGGCATTTTGCCTCTGCATTTCTAAACTATAGATGAGGGGGGTAGAACTTGGAGCCAAAAATGGTGAGAGCTATCAGGGTCTTCTCTGGATAAGCTAGTAAACACCATCAGTGTTAAGTTTCACATTTAACCTGCACTGGGATTCCCAGAGCTACTGGGAAGAAAGCAGATGTTGCTCTGTATCAGTCCTGCCACCTGCCATTAACCCTTTCTCTCCTAGGATAATTTTGAGAATTTGCCTGCCTGGGCAGGAAAGGGACTGTTTCTGTGGAGGAAAATAACTGAAGATGATTCCCTTTACTGATTGCTGCTGATGGATCTCTATGACAGAGGAATCACCTTATATCTCAACCTAACTGATGGGATGTGATGTGACTAGTCACATGACTTTTCATTCTTCTCTACGAGAATACAGCCTATCAAAATGATGTTTATTGGAAATGTAGAACCAATCAAACAGATAATTTATGTATGTAATGTAACGAGAGCACTTTTCATTGACTGTGAACTTTTTATTTTCAAATCTGCACTCGAGCCAATCTTCTTAGAGGCAGCCCAGCACCTTCGTCTCCATAGGTAGAATGAGCATCAGGTGTTGGAGCCTTGCATGAGGGTACTAGGCAGGGTCCTGGATGTCAGACTGTGAAAGCTCCTGAGAAGCTTGTGGGGATGAAGATGGGAAAGAAGTGAAGACTAAGACTACGAAGTGAAGACTAAGACTACTTTCCCCAAATCACAAAAAAGAGAAAAGCTATTGACGAATGTGACACCTGCTAGGCATTTGGGGGTTGGCCTCTTGCATAACACCTGATGGAGTGGACGTCAGCCTCCGGTGTGTAGGGCCAAGGCTGATGCTGCTCACATCCAAGTAACCGTGAGTTATAGCAGATGACCCGGAACAGACGGGCTGAATGAGAACAGAGGATGGATGGAGCTCAGGTGTTAGGTTCCTTCTCTTACTCTAGCTTAGGGATGGTTTTCTAAAATGTTGCAAGTGAGTGGAGAGTTCACCTCTTTAGTGTTTAACAGAGTACTGAAAACTGCTTATCCACGTCACATGGTTTGAGAATACTGGGTTTAATTACTAATATAAGAAAGAATTTAAAAATCCTAAGCTCACAGAAAACCTGGTTTACTATATTTTTTGCACATTCCACGTAACCCTAGCAAAATGCAGTTCCTTCCATATTTCTGTTCTGTTGCCTTTTCCATTAGAAGATTTACTTAGGAAAATGAATTTCTATTTATTCCTACAAAATTTTGACACTGCTTGATTTTACCCAATGGGGACTATGCTTTGAATGATTTCTAGAATACTTTCACAATTAAAAAGAAAGCAGAGTGGAACCATTTTTAATTTGTTTCATGAGCAATAATATTAAAGATAGGGTTGAAATATACGTAAGAAGGGTCCTGTCCACAAATGGTTGGTCATCATGTATCTTCACCCTTTCAGAGGCCCCATACCCACATGCGTGTTTTGGTGGGGTACATACACTCTTGGGGGATTCCATACCACTTCAATGACTAAGTTCAACCCCTCAAGAATCTGAATTTGGGTCCCCAAATTTTCAGGAATACTTGACTTCCCTGTGTCAAACTACTGGTCAGCTACTGCAGAATTTTAGAACTCAGGTCTTGATGTGAAGTGGGGAACATAGTAGTTCATACAAAGTTTAGGTGCTGTTAGAAAGATGGGAACAATAGTGTGTTGCTGCCTTATTTTTATATAGGAAAATGAAAAAAAAATGAAGGGAAAATGAAAATGAAGGAAACACCCAAGATAATAGTGATGGGTGATGTAAAACATATTTCTACCCAGACAGCAGAAGCCCTGAGTTATAGAATAGTGATGTTGTCTAGAAGAGAAAGTTGTTTTGGGAATATACCACTTTAATAGTATAGTCTCTTAAAAATTGTCCTTTATCTGTGAACCTTCTTCTTGTCTTCTCTTTGTTACCCACCCTTAATGGAACCATCACGAAACCCACTTCTGAAATGGCTTTTCCAGAAGTTAAATGTATTTACTTTCAGTCAGAAGAACTCCGAAGTTTCAGATGTTCTGTGTGGTAGATTTATTTTCAGGAAATATTAAGTTGTGTTGGATATGTTTAATATAGGCTATACCAAAACTATTTATTCTTTTTTGTAACTTCCTTTAGTTCATTTTTCTCTATAATTGCTCTGTATTAACACAGAGGGTAAAAAGGCCATAGCCCATTACCAAAAATATACAGAATCTTCTGACCTGTGAGGTCGTTTGCAGTCATTGTGTGAACCGATTAGACTGTCAGGTGGTGAAAGACAGTAATCTGTCTCCAGGTGAATGTAACCTACTTCCTAGGACTTTACCCAGAGGATGTGTTCCCCAGGTGGGCAGAGAACCATTGATCTCTAGTCCAGAGATCCTGGCCTCTGCATGATTCTCAGGTCTCCGTGTGTACCTCTCACTTAATAGAAAAGTTTAAGAGAATTTCTGAAAATAACACCACTCCTGCTGATGGGAGCAGTTCAGCAGTCCTATGGAAGAAAGAAAAATACACGCGTCTTGGCAGCCATGGTATTCTTCCTTTTATCCACATGAATCGGGAATATATGTGAACATTTGAATGCTGGTATATCAGAGCGACCGTGCTACCATAGAGTCATTGAATTACCACTCCTAATGCAAGTGAAGGTTTTATTATACTACTGTGAGTGTGAGTGTGCGTGCAATACATTTGTGAGTTCCTCTTCCTGGTGTGTAGAAGAGCCAACACAAGCAGCGTGGTAATCATTGGGTGCTATTCTAATTGTTTGTAGCGAGTGCTATTTTTCAGGAGATGGAGCCAGTTAGTTAGGTTTGGCTGATCTACTGAATATCATGTGATGCTCTTCTTCCCATGTAGACCTTCAGCAAAAGCAGGTACTTGGAAGCCACAGGCTCACCTTCTCTCTCTACTCAATAATTATTAATGAAGAGACCTCCATAAGGGAGCACTTGGCTGTTACCAATAAATGTACCAATTATTAAACCGTCTCCAAGCCATTCAGTGATGTCTGCAACATCACTATAGAACTGTCTTGTGTCACTTTTTACTTCCCTCTGGGTGGGGCCTTTTAGACTCCCCAATCATGGAGGCAAGTTAATCTTTCTCTCCAGGTAGTGACTTTTGCCCCATAGCTGGGTAAGCACTTCCTAGATTGAGAAAAGCAGCTATAGTAAATCCTGCTCTGTTTCCCTCATTTGGTGATCATTCAAATCACACATAAGCTCCCTGTACTCTAATTTCATGCACTTCTCCCAGACGCTATGGGTTTTCTCTCACTGTTGCCAATGGACGTCACCCAGACAGTGAGTTCCTATCTTACGGTTTTGTGCAATCATCGTCGTATTGTAGTCCTAAGACTCATTATAGTGTATTTTTGATATTTTTGAAATGTGTTAAATTTTTTAATTCAATAATATGAGCCAGAGCATGTTGCAGCAAATCTATTATTTGTAAAAAATAACAATAACAACAATAATAAATAAAATAAAATGGAATATCTTTTTTCATGGCTTTGTTTTAAAATGAAATACCTGTTATTTTATAAATACTTTATTTTAGCATGCAACTGTAATTTTCTCTAACTTGTATGTAGAATTAGTTTCTTACCCAAAACACCATTAGAAGTTTTCTGCTTTTTCTTGCTTTAGGGGAAGATAACAAATGAAACTACATTCCATGGCACTCTATGAAGCTATGAGTTAAGGGCAGAATAAATATTTTTGATCATCTTTTAAGCTGAAATAGCAATAAAGATTTTTTTATGCTAAGAAACATTATATTCTGACTTGGCTTATATGTTTTTTTTAAAAAAAATCCCGAAGACAGGAAACATGGTCCTTATTTACATGCAGGTGATCAGCTGACTAGAGGAAACTCAATTGTAAACAATCCACAGCTCCTCTTAAATCAGAGCTGATGGTGATAGAGGAGCTAAGTGGGTAATCTGGCCGTCATATTTGGTATAGTGTAATAATGGCTTTGGTATTAGAACTTCAGACATAACTGGTAGGTTTTGGCCCATAAAATACTTATAATCTAGGTAAGCCTCTAAATTGTTCCTCTCTTCTACCCCCATTGACGTCTCCCAAATCTCTAGACTTCGAGCAAGATTAGCTACCTCTCGCTCCAGATGAAGTCCTGAAGTCTGAGTTGAAGTCCTTCTTCAGTTTCCTTCTCATTAGCAGAGCAAACATTTTGAAAAGTTGGTTCACCAACTATTCATTGAACACCTTCAGTGCACTGGGTTCAACCACCACCACCACCACCATCTACTTCAATACCTCAGTTCCATCAGACGCACACCTCGCTATTCCACGTGGCAGAAGCGAAATTTTCTGAGTGTGTTCTCTGCTTCCTGTGATACAATTTCCACCCAGTACACCCAAGGCCACGCGAGTACATTAGTCACAACACGTTCCAGTGTGTGTCATTGGTCCCGAGTTTTGCCTCTGCTATTTAGAAGGTTTGAATTTAGACAAGTTAACCTCTCCAAGGCCTGCCTCTCTCTCTCTCTCTCTCTCTCTCTCTCTCTCTCTCTCTCGTTAAATGGAAATCGCAGCTCTCAAGTTGTGACCTTAAATCAGATGATGCAAAATGCTACCTTAGCTCAATAGTGCATCTGGCACAATGAGCAGTCAGCAAAATGTTAGCTACTGAGTAAACCACTTAACCTTGAACTTTGGTCTCCTCATTTAAAATGTGAATGATAAATCTTGACCTGCCTCCTCCAAGTGGTAGGAAATAAGCTGTGGTTGGAAACTGCAGACGTGGGTGTTGTGATCACAGTGAACGATGGGGCTCCAATCCCTCGAGAGGAGTTGAATCTTGGGAGCAGTGTTATAGCTGGGCCTAGACACAACGTTGGTGTCAGACAGGCCCAAGTCCTCATTTTATCAAGCACAACTCAGACACGGGACATGGTTTAGGGAACCTGGGAATACGTGCTAGGGGAGAAGAGTGTACGGTTATTCTTTTGGGGGGTGGGCTGATTTTTGCTGTGGTTAAACTTTTCACTGCTCTTCAAAAACTGTGGGGCTGAGGGTGACAGAGTGGAAGCGCCTCTTTGTGGCACAAATGTTTGTATTTTAACCTCATAGTGTAGACTTCCAGTTGGTTGTTTTCCTCTAGGCCATCGGTTCTCAACCTGTGGGTCGCGACCCCTTTGGGGGTCGAACAACCCTTTCACAGGGGTCACCTAAGACCATGGGAAAACACATATATAATTACATATTGTTTCTGTGATTAATCACTATGCTTTAATTACGTTCAATTTGTAACAATGAAAATACATCCTGCATATCAGATACTTACATTACGATTCATAACAGTAGCAACATTACAGTTATGAAGTAGCAACGAAAGTAATTTTATGGTTGGGTCACAACATGAGGAACTGTATTAAAGAGTCGCGGCATTAGGAAGGTTGAGAACCACTGCTCTAGGCTTTACTTTTTGTAAAAGTATAA